TAAGTGCTTAGGAGTGAATTTGCTGACCTAAAAGAGAAGTCTCTTAAGATATTTTGGAGAACCGTTCTTTATCCCTCAAATCGGGTTTTCAAGTTCACTCCATACCATTCATATAAAGATAAATTCCGCCATAAGTCGACAAGTAGAAGTCATAGAGTAAAGCGAATACTCACAATCCATCTCGCCAAAATACCTTAAGAAACTCCGTTTTTAGGTCGGTAAACTTCCAAGCCCATGAATCTGGTTTTATAAAATACCTGGGGGTATTGTGATTTAACCCCCGGGTAAAAAATATCCCTCATTTCCTCATGTATCCTGAGTTGATGATAGATTAACTATTGTTTTGTTAATTGTGATATCATTTACTCAAAATTAATACTTTTATAATTCCATTTTGAAATACATAAATTTTAAATAGTCAAATGTGTGTTTTGAATTCTAAGAAGAGCACAGAAAATAAAAATATGTTACAACCGAGAAACGAACGGACGTCAAATAAAATTGAAATCTACTACTAATATTTCTAAATTGATTGAAAACTTCTCCAATATCACAGTACAACAAAAAAGGGGACACCAAATGGCATATCAGACATAAAAGTAATCCTATAGACTAGCAAAACCTTAATGGCGTTTTGCATTATTAGCTCGTATAAGAAAGTAATGGCCATAGGCAGTTGTCGTTGCTCAGTCGATTTTTCTCAATATGGTACGTGCAGGTTTTAGGCCATATCTTATGAAATATTCGAATTTATATGTTGCTGTCAACGGCAAAGTTGTAGAAAAGAGTCCAAATAACAAATTTTACGAACATACTTAACCTGAAAAAAAAAACTTTTAGTCAATGTTTTGGAGCAAAATGTTGAAAAAATCGGAAAAAATTCAATTTTTCGACCATAGCCCAAGGAGTATGCAATTTTTTTGGTTATTGTTTTCAGCAAAATTGTAGCCAAAGTAAAATTTCTAATTTTTCATCATGATGCCAATCCAAAAAAAAAACACGTTTTAACCATTTTTTAGACTGAAAATCGCTTTTTAGTACCAGAAATGGCCATTCTGTTCAAGTTTTTGGCCGATTACTTGCAAATTACTATATAAGTATATTTCCATATTATTCGCTTTAATTTTCATAAAAGTGTCTCTGCAGATAACTTGAATGAATTTTTAAGCTAATTTAATGAAAAAATTCACTCATTTATCAAAAAATTTCGGGTTTTGGAACAATTTTTGAGCGTTTGGTGGATATTAAGCCAAAACAATTGCATGCTCCTTGAGCTATGGTCGAAAAATTGAATTTTTTCCGATTTTTTCGACATTTTGCTCCAAAACATTGACTAAAAGTTTTTTTTTTCAAGTTAAGTATGTTCGTAAAATTTGTTATTTGGACTCTTTTCTACAAATTTGCCGTTGACAACAACATAATAATTCAAATATTTCACAAGATATGGCCCAAAATCTACATGTACCATATTGAGAAAAATCGACTGAGCAACGAAAACTGCCAATGGCCATTACTTTCTTACACGAGCTAATAATGCAAAACGCCTTTGGGGTTTTGCTAGTCTATAGGAATACTTTTATGTCTGATATGCCATTTGGTGTCCCCTTTCCATGACCCGAATTTTGTTGGACTGTGTATAAACAGTTTGTATAAAACAAAACGCTGGCTTTATTTTTCTGAGATCGCTATTATTTTCGTGATTAAACCAGAGTTTGATGAAACCCCTGAATTGTATCCACATCTCGTACTTTTAAAATAAATTTTTCATTTCGAGAATAAAATATCGCGAGTTCAAAACATCATCTTGACCTATCAAATTTTTCGACCACTAGTGACAGTGTTTTTTTTAGATAATTATCTATTTTTAGACGGTTCGATAAGATAATGAACAAAGTTATCTAATCATCTTATCCATACTAACATACAAGGCTAACATAAATATTCATTTAAATATTTTCGGCGATTTCGTTGTAAATAAATATTATATTTATTCTCAAAAATTCCAAGATTTTCTGTGTTTTTCTTCAATATTTAGAGGATTTTGCCATTTTTTGTGTGAAAATTTTCGGTTCATAAAATTGATATTTTCTATTTTCCATTTTCTTCTTATTGAAATTTGTTTCGTAAAACCACCCCTTCAGCTCTAAAAGCTACCCCGAAAATTGGAGTTTTTTTAGCCTCCTTACAGCCTAAGGGGGTGATTTTTTGGGGATGAAGTGTTCAGCAATATGGTTAGTTGGTAAGAAGTAGTTGACACATTGCCAAACCACTGGTACCGTTGGAAAGGGAATCGATGGGGCTACAAAATTTGCCAAGTCGCCAAGTAGCCTACCTCCTTTGGGCCCCAAATAATGGGTTCAAAAAGGTGGCGTTTTTTGGCATGTTTTTTCTGCGTCAAAAGATAGTCCATGTCGCGCCGCATAAAACAAGCAATTCGAAACTTTTGAATCGACCAGACTAAATTCCTTTTTTTGGCCTTTCGCACCAATTCCAAATCGGCGCGTAAAAATTAAATTTCTCTACCAATTTGAAAACAGCGCGCTTCTAAGTAATAAGTATATTAATGAAATGACATCCATAGAACAAAAGAACAACTTATGAGCTCTTTATCCATAACTGCGACGGAAAAAAAACTTTGAGCAAAAAAGAGCAAATAAAGTTGCGACCAAATGTGACACAACTCAGCATTGAGCGGAAACGAAGTTTTTTGCATTTTTCTCGCTACTTTGTTCTCACAGCGAACGGTCAATCAGGCTACCTTTGCATTTCAGTTGAATTGAATTTGGCAACGTTATAAAAAACAAGAAAGTTTCAAAACATTCTACGCGTAGAGTCTTTTAGAACCTACGAAAAGACTCATTTTAGGCCTAGTTTGTTATTGCATAACAAACTATAACTGAGCCGTTACATGAAATGTACTACATCACAATGTATGGATGGATTAGACAGATAGCATACAGAGTACAATAAAGTACAGCTAAACTTATGTATTAAATTCAATGCTACCACAATAACCAATACTCAACATAATACATCATAATATACGGAAATGAAAATTTTAAAGTATCGTATTGGTAATAACGTTTTAATCTAAATAACCTCGTGCAGCTTGGCGTCATTTCCTCCACTTCCATATGTTTGCAATGATGCTTGAACTTTGACAAGCAAGCTTCTACAATGGAAATTAAATGCGAGTAGAGACGCCACAAAAATGACTCCAAAATCGTCGATTAATGATCGAACTACTTCGTAGTTAGTCACAGATAATAATTAAACATGAAAACAGAATCTGTTTTAGGATTAAAAAATCCAAAGTTTTGGAGAAAATGTTGGAGATAAAAAAACAAAGTTAGTACCTTTTACATTTACAATGTACGTTTCATGTAACGGTAAAAACATGTTTGTGCCTGTATTTCGGCTATGTTGAACATGCTACTACTACTTCTTCTTCTTATTTTTTTCTTCGACCCACAAAAATCCGCACAAGAGCATCGCACACGAGCGCTGTAACTGTAAAAAATATATGTATTACTTATTTTTTAGAATTTTTCTATGAACAAATGCGTATACATCTTGAACGTGACATTTGTGTTGATACATTGATTTTGTAATATTCTGGGCTAATGATTATTTGTTTGTTTTTATTTATATAAAAATAAAAATAGAAATGAAATGTAAACGATACAAGCATCTTTATAATTAAAAAAAATGGAAAGTAGCTGAGAATGACCAAGAATGTAGAAGAATACTCAACGGACTTTTTTATAACAGTTTTTCGAATTTGACATGAAATTTTACATGACGTATATGGATATGCACTTTTCCAACTGTAGGTGGCGCGTCGACGCCACAAATGTATGGGATTAAATGGGAATTGTCGAAAGTTGTCACCCCGTTAATTTTTCATTAAAATAAGGAATAAAATAAGCTATGTTGGTTTAGTTTTCAAAAAACTGCGAACAGACTAATGCACGGTTTGTGTTTTTTCAATGACACGGAACGATTTTTCGACTTCACAGAAACGTGAATATCTCTTTCATTTTGGCGTGCACGTGATTTGATGATGAGTACAATTTGCAGCTAAAGTCGAGTACTTTCGTGACAAGTGATTTAATATTTTTTTCGTGATCGAAAAAAAATATGTGTCTTGAAATTTGTGGGACAGCTTGTTTTTCCAACGTAAATGTCATCAAATTTTGGAAGTAAAACCAATACTTTTCCGTAACAAACTATCTTTGCGAAAAAAAATAAATTAAATTTTTTGGAAACGAAATAACTTTCCCCTTGACGTGTACGTAATTATAACTGTAGTTGTAGTATGTTTGTTACACAATTGAGCTTTATGTTGAATGTTGATTCGTGTGACAACGGCATGTGGTCGTCGCGCGCCTGCGATCTTTCAAACCAGCCGGTTAGTTGATTTTGCACTCAATATTCACACTTAGTTATTTCGAGGCCGCTGATGAGATCAGTATGTTATTCCATTAGAATTTTCATGACTTTCATTGAAGCGATTTCTCAAAATAACCGTTCAAATTTTATTCCATTTAATTCGATTTTGTATTAAATCATCGTCTACCAATCTTGGCGGTGTAAATTCAAATAAATAAATAAGTATGAAATCACTGAAAAATTCACTAATTTTACTGTATTGAATTATGTGTGAATTGTGATTGTCGTGCACTGTACACTTGATTGAGATTTCACCTTTTTCTTAAATGATCAACTCGTATTGCTTTCATTCATTGCTGCTCTTATCACCTGATTAAAATTCCCAGACAAGATGATTACGGTTCGAGGTGCGCTACTTATATGCGTTTGAAGAGAAAAATCTTGTGCTAAAATCAATCGATCACTATAGAAAAAGATGTAGCGTTTTTATATGTATTGTCGCATTGAATATGAATTGAAAAAAGTGTTTCGAAGGAATCTTATTATGGAAGAAAGTATATAATGAAAACTCCAAAGAAATAATTTGTTAGAAAGCGTGCAATGTGAGAATGATCAATAGAGAAATTGTAGTTGCTAGTGGTTTGGAGAAAATATATGATCAGGAGTTGTACATTTGATTTCGTAAACTTAATCTCATTTGTCACTTCGTCCACAATACATTACATTTGTTTTGATAAAATCAAACAACAGATAAATAATACCTACTGAAATGTTTCGTTTGCTAAATGAATTCGAAAATTAAGAGTTATGTTGCGAGTAACAATTTGAAGTCTATACGTAAGATTAGTGCTCTACTAAAACAAATTAAACTATGTAGAACACAATGAAAATTGATCCATCATCATAAAACAAAACAAAAATATTTAGAGTAATGTGATTGTGATCTTTTCAGCAATAGTGCAGTTGAAAAATAGGTTTTATTAACGAACTCAAAATTGTTGTGGCCGAAACGTATTGTAAACAAGAATCAAACTGGCGTCTAAAGTATTGAAAACTCGTTCGGAGAGTTTCACTGACAGTGATGCAAGCTATGCAAGTAGCAGTACAGACGATACCACAGAGATATCCAGTGGCGAAACAGCAACAGACACCGGCGAGTCTTCTGCAACTGAAACCAATGCAAGATCACAGAATACAAGTCCAAGTAAAGCAACAATAACCCGTGTCACAGTGCCTAGGAGAATTGTGATCAAATATTCTGCGAATATTGAACAGCCAAAGATTAATCCACCGATAGCCATAATTGGTCCACAAGACAGTGAATCGTCTGATCCAGGAATTCTCAAGCCAGACTTTAGTGAACGAGTTGATGAAGATGAAGATGAAGAGGAAGAAGAAGAAGAGGAGCAAGATGTACAGCTGTGCATTAATATCAAAATATTATTAATATCGATATTAATAATATTTTGATATTAAGATTTTATCTTAATATCGATATTATAATATTAACATGATATTATGAATAGATAAAATCTTAATATCAAAACATTATTAATACCGATATTATGATATTAACATGATATTATTATATCGCATTTTGTGCGACTGTAGCAGGATGAAGAAGTGACAACGGCAGATACATCAGAACTTATCACGGAAGCAAATCCAACTCTTTCTCAAAATGATTTGGATGAATCAGAGATAGAAGATCTTGAAGAAGAAACCACTGACGAGGATGAGAGTGAAGAGGAAAATAGTGACGACGATGAAAGTACGGCCAGTGACAACAATATTATTGGCTACACAAATGAAGCGCAATCACGCTCATGTTACGCTTTGGAAGACTTCCAATTACTAAAAACTATAGGTAAGTTCAAACGAAAAAAAAATAAATAAATTCACGTTTTCCTATGCTATTAGGTCAATCAATATAAATGACCGTACCAACGATGTCACAACTGTTTTGATTTCTCAACTTTGAACTCTCATTATTGTGTGTTTTTGATTTCGTTATTTTGCACCAGTGCTCTCATTCATAGATTGTGTTTGAATATAGCCTCCACGTGTGGTAGTGAGTTTTCGCTTCCGCGCTGTATTTTAAATATAGCGATGCGATTCAACAGAAACGAAAAACAGTCAAAATATTTCCACGCTATTCATGATCATACGTATAAGCGTTGAAATTGTCATCGTTCGCTGTAAATATAAGTGGTGGCCCCAGGCTCCAATGATCACAAATTTTCTGACTTTCTCATTTTTCGATTTTGTAGCAAATGATGTCACGTAGGTGGATATTTTAAAGCTACAAATTTAAACCGTAGAATGATTTGAATTATAGTTGATATCGAGAATGTCGCGATAAAAGAATATGTTTATTTATTTTTACAATCAAATAATGTATGCAATTGCATTAAAGTTTTATCCCTTGAATGTTGGAAATCTATGGAACAAAGAAGATACGATGCGTATTAAAACTTATTATCATGAATCTCGGTATCACACTAGTATAAAATCCGACAGATGGATTTTTGTTTGAAAAACTTATATTTAGATTCTAGAGATAAAATTTCGAACGCTCTTAGAATAATTAAGCGGCTAATGCTGGGCATAAGAAAAGAAAACAACCATATTCATGACATAAATGCCAAATATAAATCGCGGCGCAATAAATAAATACGAACCGATTTGAGTGCACAAAATATTTTGCTCTACATGAAAACACATCAATGTTGAAATGTTCGATATTTCATTTAACCACAGAACAGCATTCCTCGTAATTGTGTTTACGAATGAAAAATAACGCCTGAAATCTACTATTCATTAAATATTTAGTTAAAAATCTTGAAAATTAGATAGATTAAATTCAGTTAATACCGAAGCGAATGAAAGGCAAACAAAAGAACGTATTTTATAAACAACAGTTCCTGGTATCCCAATCTTATAATAGATTTATCAAAAGTGCACAACGATAGATGTATAGTTCTTGTGTTTCTATTCCAAACTCTTCATATTTGAACTAAAAGTGCTTTGGAACATTTGGAAAAATACAATTTCAATAAATATTATTTTGTCTTGCATATTTATAGAAGTGGAAAATAAATTCCCCAAACAATTGAATATGTAAAAAGCTTACAATTCATGTGAATTTTGCTATCATCTGCTAACCTGCTGATCAACTTTCTTTCGCATAGCACAGTTTGTTTTCACAAGAATAGAAAAGAAAAAAAAAACAAAACAAAACGTGAACGTAGTAGTAACAGGCTTTATCGATGCAAACCAGAGATTTTGTATTTGCTGCTGAGTAGGCCTGAGCTGAGATAAATTTGCTAACTCAGGTGCCTGAAGCGTTATTTTAGCGCATTCACGGTGGGAAGATACGTGGATCTTTGATATCAGTGACATCATCTCACCGTGAATGCGTTGTCATCCCACCGTGAATGCGTTAAAATTACGCTTCAGGCGCCCGAGTTAGCAAATTTAGCTCAGCTCAGGCCTATTCAGCAGCAAATACACCATCTCTGATCTAAAACAATTTGACGCACTGAATAAATATGAAAGCTGTGCAAATATTGCACTTGAAAAAGCATATTTGTTCATATTCATCCAATTGGCGCTAAAAATATAGAGCAGTATGATGGACGAATATGATTCTTCTTTCGTTTAATTTTTCCTTCGTTTAATTTTTCCCTTCAAAATTCTTCAAAATGATAAATCATATCCTAACAATATGAGTCCATTTAAAATTCATTAGGATTATAATTGTGTCTTCTCTTACTTTCAATAGACGGTCAATTGTAACTATTGTTCCTAAAAAGCATTTAAACAAAACTATTGAGAAAATTATGATGTCGGTGGACCATAGATGGTCAGAATTTATTCTAAAGAACACCTATTAGGCTTTTCCCCAAGTGAAGACCGATTTTCAAAACTTCAAGTTTTTTGGCAGGAGAAATGAATCCATTCATAAAAATACCTGTTTTTTTTTCTTTAATTTTGGAGTCGATTTATCTGTTGGCTGAATTTTTATCCAAATGAGAGTGCGTTTATACTGCTGTTGCATACAAAACTGATTTACTAATTATTCGCTTACAAGCACTTTGATGTTTGATGTGGATAGAAATTCAACAATAGAATATGAAAAACACTACCTTTGATCTCTTTTTGAATTATACCATATTGTACAAAATATTAAATCTTTTTTGAGACATGTTTAGTTCTGAACGTATTGGGTTTTGCATTTCAATTATTTCAATCACAATTCAATCAAGTTGTCCGGTTTATTCAGTCAAATTGGATGTCTGGTGATTAAAATCCTAAACAAAGTACGCACAATAAAAGTGTCAAAATTATCTGCAGAAAAATGATTGAGTGACTAAAATCTACTCATCATGGTCATCAAATTGGATATTATTTTGATAATATACATTTGGGTATTATTTTCATATTTAAATAAACAAGGCATGTATTTCGATTGCCCCACGAACGTTTCCAATGTGTGTTAGTTCTGTTGAGTATGTATTTCATTAAAATAAAATACGAAAACTGTCACTATTTACAAGTGTGTTTATATCACAATGATCGTCAATTTGTATAGCTGTGCTTTAACATTGGCTGCACACTATAGACTCACAGTAGAAGTCCCTACTCGACAATGTGAATTGACTGTATGTATATGATCACTATCTCACACTTCGCTGGCATGAGCCGTTATTTATTATGAACCCACATTTTATGGTTGGAAGCACTTGGATTTTGCAACTCATTCTGCTTACGTTATTAGATCACACTATGAAAAATGACGTATGTAAAATATATGTATAACAATCCTGAAATTAGTTCAGCATCTTGAAATACTGAAAACAGTCCATGTCACGAAAATTTGTTTTCAAGGAAAAACCTGTGGACAAATCGAGCGATTACTTGGAGCAGGAAAAATGAATCCAAACGAATTCATGAAAAAACGTATTCTTATCCTATTGAAACTTTAAATGTATTCAGCGCCGTAGCGTCCATAAAAACGTTTGGGACTAAGGACCCATTTGAAATCTTCTGCGCCCTATCTGTACTTCTGATTTTATATTGATAACATGGAGTTTTGAAGAAATTCTACGCAAAAAATAATCGAAGTATTCAATTATTGTAATGTAATGCTACCAACTGTACTGATTTTTCCAGTATTCTATTCGGATTTGTAGAATTTTTCCTTGTGCCCGACGCAAATTATTGTTTACAGATATGTATAGAGGAAGTTTCAAAGAAGTTTTCTGCCTGATCATATTTTTTGAAAAAGGCACTGGAGTCGGTCGGGATGTGGCTTCATGAAAAAAAAAATTGGTCGTTCTCAGTACATTTTAATTTTCTAAAATATTGAATATTTTCCGATATTTCCAACATGTTCCAAACATTTTTATCTTGTGGACGTATGAATATTAACCATGACAACTGCATAGTGCATACACACCCGAACAGAATGGTGTAGCAGAGAGAATGAATCGGACAATCGTCGAATGGGCCAGGTGTATGATTTTTGATGCCGACCTGGATGATTCATTTTGGGGTGAAGCGTGTGCGATGGCGGCACACCTTATAAACCGATCTTTAGAAGTAAAAAAATGTAATTCTTATTACTTTATTACCTACTTATTACTGTAATAAGATGAGTAATAAGTAATAAGTCTATCTTATTACTGTAATAAGATTGTAATAAGATGATTGTAATAAGATTGTAATAAGTAATAAGATCATCTTATTGCGGTAATAGGATTGTAATTGTAATAAGATTGTAATAAGTATCTTATTACTTTTGGTGCAAAAAAAATCGCTAAAAAAGTTTCTTGTAAAAAACATGTCAATTTTTGTCAGACGAAAAAATGTTGAAAAAAATGTGTCTTGCAAAATTTGACATGATTTTTGTATGAGACTTTTCTTTAAAAGTTTCATACAAAAATCATGTCAAAGTAGAGTGAAACTGGATACTGGAGATTTTGCATTGACATTTCCGACTGTAAACATGACAACAATTCATATGCGTGTGCTGTCAAAGTCACTTTGTCATGCGTCATTCACATTAATGCTTTGACTGATTGTGGTGAACAGTGGTGAGATTGGAAACGCCATACATTTTATATACATTATTTGTTTGGGAATTATATTCATTTATTTTCTTTTATTGTTGATATTCGGGCTCTGCAAAGCCTAGGCTTCATTCACGATTTGTTTTTCAAAGAAATATTTCGAAAAATCGTGAGTTTGCACTGTCAACACTTGTGTGGTTTTTCATATGATTTTGAAGTCATCGAATATTGCCACCCATTCACACATTCAATGAACTTGCTACACCAAGTGATAGTTTAGTTCATTGCTGACGTTTTCCAATCCGCCATACGTTTTTTAATGTGTGTGTACATCAAAATGTCAAAATTGTCAAGAATGCAACCGTTCTCCTCGTTCTTTTGCAAGACACATTTTTTTCAACATTTTTTCGTCTGACAAAAATTGACATGTTTTTTACATGAATCTTTTTTTGCGATTTTTGTTGTACCAAAAGTAATAAGATACTTATTACAATCTTATTACAATTACAATCTTATTACTGTAATAAGATGGACAGTAATAAAATGAAAGTAATAAGTAATATGTAATAAGTTACTTATTACTTTACTTCTATAAACCGATCAGTTTGTTCATCAATTGCGAACAAAACTCCAGGGGGAATGTGGAGTGAAAACAAAGTGGATGTTTCCAATTTGAGGATTTTTGGTTCGCCCGTAATGGTTCATGTGCCGAAACAGCGCCGAAGAAAGTGGAGCGCTAAGTCGAAAAAGATTATTTTTGTTGGTTTCGATAGCGATAAAAAAGGATTTCGCTGCATCGACCCGGAAACCAAAAAGCTAACAATCAGTCGTGATGTCATTTTTCACGAAATGTCGCCAATTTCTCAAATTGGATTAACCATCAACGATTTGGACGATTCGAATCATGTGAGTGACAACGAAGTCATCGTCAGTGATCCGATCAAGGGGGAAATCACTCAAAAGTAATACCAAATAGAAAAGTAATACCTCAGTTATTTCTAGTAATACCTCTGGTATTACTTTTGATATTTCTATGAAAAAAGTAATACCGAAAAAAAGTAATATCCAAGTAATACCAAGTAATACTGATCAATAGAAGTAATACACCTGGTATTACTTTTGATTTGTACGGAAAGTAATACCAAGTAATACCATTTATGTAAAAGTAATACCTAAGAGTGATTTGCCCCTCGGATCCGATCGTCGAATTTGAGAAAGAGTCAAATCGAGCCGATGCAAATGAATCGGTTGAAGAGGATTTGGCTCAAGTGAGGAACGACGACAGCGATGACACGATTGTGAATGAAGAACTCATTGATGATTTAGCGGCAAGTACATCGATCGATTCAACGAGCAGTTTTATTTTTATTTTTATTTTTTTTTTTTATTAAACACCGCCAAGCTCTGGCTGAATATAATGTGGGTTTTGATAGAGGTTTGGCCGGAAAAGAGTGCAAGACTGTTACAATTTTTATAAATAATGAACAATAGTAGCAGTAACTTTCGATAACTTTCAGTTCTCGCCTCGTTAAAAACCTGGCTCTTTTCGTAAATTATGAGGTAATCACAATAGCAGGAACATGAAAACGAAAGCAGTCATACAACCAAGATGGAAATGCTTGATATTAGTCTATAGCAAACGGTCCAGGATAACCTTTGGTAAACGTTTCCAAAGGGACAAAGGCTATGTGAAGTATTAACTGTTACGCGTTAAATTTAAGACTTTGAGACTGCAAAAGTCGTCACTCAATTTATATCGATAGATAAATTGATGAGAAGTTTTACGTCGGTTAAGGCAGATCCATGTTGATTGCAGAGTGCATTGAGTTGACATGGACCATGATTTAAAACGTAACTAGATCATTTGATGCTAATTGATAAATAATTCAAAATTGACTTCAAAGATAAGAATATTAACTCGCCAACTCGTGGATGGCTACAACAAAGCACAAAATCAAAATAAAAATCTACAATAAATAAGTGTAAACATCACAGATAAGTATCATCTTTTCAATACACATAAAAGAATGTATGGAAAAATTCGTCAGTCTTTTAATATTGATTTTGCTGTGTGATCCGTGTGAGATGAGTTGAATTCCACGTGGGTGGTTGAAACCTGGGACAGCCCCGCTCATGTTTGTTGCAATCAGAAGCAACCCAAATGGCACCCGGGCAGTAAGCTTTGTCCTTGATGAATTCGTCCGCTTGGGATCATGGATCGGGTTTAACGGTAATATGAAAATCGAAATTTCATCATTAATGTGGGCAGTATCAAGGTGTTCTCGTAGAGAACATATACAAAAAATGAGGTTACTTGGATGAAACGATCGACTTCAAATTGCGCTATACGAAAGGAGGAGATGATGGGCTTGTCGGTTACTGTGACGCCGATTATGCATAAGATCTCAGTAAACGTCGATCGTGCACTGGGTACGTGTTCAAGTTGTCCAACGCAGCGATAACTTGGTACAGCAAGCGTCAACCAACACCGGCATTATCGACAACAGAAGCAGAATATTTGTCGATGTCAGCTGCAGTGAGGGAAGCACTGTGGCTCAAACAGTTTGTGAGGGAGCTGGACAGAGAATTGAACAAAGTAATCACACTCAATTGCGACAACAACAGTTCCATTGATCTTGCTGAATCGGACGGGTTCAGAGCAAGAACCAAACACATTGATGTGCGACATCATCACATACGAACAATGATTAAGAAGAAGATCGTCGCAATCAAATTCAAACCAACTGATGAAATGGCTGCGGACAATTTAACCAAAGCCGTTCCCAAGGATAAACATCAGTTCTGCGTTAAACAAAGCGGATTGTGTTGAAATTTTAAGTTTAATTTAAATTAAATATTCGAAAATGAGTTCGAACTTCGAAATGATGATTGCGAAATGCGAATATACTTTCTTTATTTAATTTTTGACGTGGAATCGATTTTCGACGAAATTTCATCCAGGCTCATATATACTCCTTTAAATAAATTTCGGTCTTTTTGAAATATGAACAAATGTAAACCAGACTTCCTTACACTGAACGCAGCGAACTCAGCAATGTAGCGAGCTCTGTAATGTGAGAGCTGTCAAAAAAATTTCTGCAAGTGAATTTGCCAATTTATTAGGACTGGTTCACACTGATTTCTCTGTTTTTCGCTATAATCGTTTGCCAAATGGACCGAAATATATTTTAAGGAGTATACATTTGTCCATTTTGGTTGTATTTAATTGGTTTGGTCCGTTTGTCCGTTTATGATTGCATTTGGTCCGTCCGTTTGTTTGTCCGTTTGTCCGAGTGACTTGTCCGTTTATGATTGGGATTTGTCCGTCCGTCCGTTTGTCCGTTTGCTAAATGTCCGTTTGATTCGGACAAAAACGGAGGAGAAAAGTCACGTACCCTTTTGTTGCATTAGAAGTCATTGTAAATAATCATTCCATTGCATTTATTTAGATTTCATGATCCAAAGTATTTAATTTTAAAGTAGAGTCAATCTTTTATGAGCAAATATTGTTATCTTGATTTATGAAATTTCCGGAAATTTATTTGTTTTAAAATTGATTGTAAATAATTAATAAATTCAAACTTTAAAGTTCAACAAGTGAGGGTGTTGATATAAACCGGCCTTTAAGGCTATTCAATGTTTGAAAATGACAGTTCACACTTTGTATGACGAATAAAAATCTCTCTTCTTATTATATACTTCAACGAACACAGACGTGTTTTTATTCACAGAATTTGTTGGACTCTTTTTTCTTTAAGAATGGCTTTTAACAGAAAATAACTCAAATTATTGAATTGGTTGTGCCCATTTCATTACGAATTCAATGATCTTTTTGTAAATTCTTGTGTCTGAAAATTCGCGAAAAATGGTCCAAATACAGGAAAATCCGGAGTATTTATTTACCTTTAACCATGGGACACATATGTCTTATGATGCGTTTGGTTTTTTTTCGACTCTCTATATACTGTAAGTTTTCGGAGGGGAATGAGAAATCTAGATACAGTGCGAAATAGCGGTTTTTGGATGAATTTACACTAATTTTAGGGGAAAATGTGTTATTGCTTATGCGAACGCTCAAGTGGCTACTATTCATATACGTGTCAATACATAGACATGCACTGGTCACCAAGCCTGTGCAGTTGTATGTATTGTAAATTTTGCACACAGCAACTCTTGACCAAATTTGAATTACATTCCCAACTCAGACTCTGATAAATGAAAAATAATCAATCCCATAATAAATAATAACAACTTTGTGATATGTTTGTGATTTCTCATCCTATAGGTACTGGGACATTTGGTCGTGTTTGTTTGTGTTTGGATCAAAAGACAAACAAATATTGTGCGATGAAGATACTAGCGAAGTCTGATGTTATACGGTTAAAGCAGGTGGAACACGTGAAAAATGAAAAAAGTATATTGACAGAAATACATCATCCATTCATCGTAAACTTGTGAGTAAATTCATTTTCTGAAATTCATCGTATCAACACCGCGGTTTTTCCCTGCTTTTGGTTTTAATTCAAACTAAAGAGGTTCATGGACCAAACTGTCCATCGTGTATTTTTCCTGTGATTTCCATGAAAATAAAACTGAAAAAAATGGATTTTCTCATGGAAAAACTTAGTTGCGATGGTTTCCAAAACCTTGCGATATACTCATATTAACATCCTGGAGATTCGGACGTTCAACCCAGAGGTGCCATCTACGCGTAAACAGCTTGCATTGTAAACATATTGAACATGAATATTATTACTCAAGTAATATGATAATGCTACTTTTTGACTCTACAATATTAGAATCGCAACGATTCAATTGCTTTAATTTGCTTAATTCGGCAAGCGAATACTACGAGCAAATATTCAATGAAAATTCCGAAACGTATCGTATGGAGTAAATGCCAATTTTTTCTCTCTTTTAACACTCTTTTTTTGCCAAATTAAGCAAATTAAAGCAATTGAATCGTTGCGATTCCAATATTGTAGAGTCAAAAAGTAGCATTATCTAAATACTTGAGTAGTTTAGTATGACTTTGCGGCACCAGTTCATGTGCTTAAAAGGAACAAAAATCATCTCTGGTATGAATATTATTGTTTACACAATAAGTAACATTTTCGGACAATACTGTTATCCACTGACACAATCACACTCACACAAATAAACGTGTCGATTGTGCCCACGTACATACAATACCGCCATGACAGTTTGGGGCCACTGTTTCCGAAATATGTAAACGGATCTAGTTAAAATGGCCAATTTGTATTAAAAATGTGTAGTGGCCCCACACTTGTTGGCATTAGTGCATATTACGATGACTGTTTTGAGTGAAATGTTGTGAGCACTAAACGTATACTCTTTCTTCAAATCCTATAATTTTTCAAAACAAGACCAATTTTCGGCTTTTTCAAAGAAGATTGGACTACCGCGAACAGACTTTGTTACGGTATAAATTCAAAACGCGGAATACATTTATGCGATAAATTTATGTGCACTCATCACAGCTCGCTCTGCGTTTAAAGAAGTCTGCTTGTTTGTATTACCGCTTAGCAAACGCATCAACATGATGACGTTGTATGACGCACTGTGCCTCATACAGTCTGTGAACGCACTCAATGATACGTTCGCAAAGCGATAATAAAAACAAGACCGCAGATCGTCGCTTCGCTCCGCTCTGCGTCCTTGAAGCTTGCAAATTTAAGTGGTTTGATAAATTTAATGTTTCTCATCAAATTATTGTCGTAAGTACTACATAGAATGTAGTTTTTATCATAGTATACTTTTTGTTTAATTAATTAGGTTAAGTTATTTTAAAAAGTTATCAATCATGTTTGATCCGGACGTAATATTTTCTGAAGACGACAAAGTTGACGGGTTGATGTTTGAAATGTCTGTTTCACAAGTTTTAGTTATACACAGTAAAAAATAAAAGTCCACATCTAGCCGTTTTTTCAGCTAAACACGCATTCAGCCGATATTGCTGCTAGTAATTTGAGCTGCAGGCGAAATTCCGCTTATAATCTAGTCGGTTTTTCGTCTGAAACTCAATTTACTAGGCAAAATATAAGACTGGGCGCCTCTACCAGTCGAAAATCCGCCTAAGTGTGGACTTTTATTTTTCACTGTGTAAATCATTTTAATATTGTCAAAAATAATTAAATAAATTTATATGATGATATTGTATTCTTCACTTATGTGTTTTATGTACATTCAATGTGAATAAACATCGTACATTATTTCACATTGGTAACAAAAAAAATGTAAATTTTTTTTTGAGTTATCTCAAAAGTGAATTAAGTACATGAACATGATTTTATTTCATTTTTGCAATTAGGCGTAATTGAAATCAGATGAAAAACCTCTAGACGAGGTTAAAATGGAGTGACGCTCCTGTGCGTGGATTTACCACTCAAAAAGAATGATATCATTTTGAGTGACGCTTTAACGCTGTATACAAAGTTCAGAAGTGTTTTTCGCATTCACTATTGTAAAAATTTATTCACAATAAGGAAAAATATCGCGTCACGACTTTTGCACGGCAAAATGCTAGAAAGCTTCGGAACTAAATTCAAAAGTCATGACGCGATATTTTTCCTCATTGTGAATAAATTTTTACAATAGTGAATGCGAAAAACACTTCTGAACTTTGTATCCAGAGGTAATACAGCGTCAAAGCGTGACTCAAAATGATATCATTCTTTTTAAGTGGTAAATCCACGCACAGGAGCGTCACTCCATTTCAACCTCGTCCAGAGGTTTTTCATCTGATATCACTAATTTTGTAAGGCAATTATTCTCGGAAAAAATACACTTTTGTCGGAAATATGTCTATTTTAAGGTCTTATCATTGGAAAATTGTAATTTTTCGGGTAAAACATTTGCATATACATTTCACAAGTTTTGTAAATAGCAAATTTCCACTTTCATTAAAAAAAAGTCCCATTTTCCCCTTATTGGACATTGTAAAATGTGATTAAATTTCAAAATATCCATTAAAAGAGTTTTGAAGTAATTTAAGACACATTACTTCATTGAAACATATTAATTTCCAACCACCAAAGCTCTGGAAAGTGCATTTTTTATGTATCCCCCGAGCAAAAGTTCAATTTCATACATTCAGATGCCAAAATGCCGATTTATGACCAAAATGACAACGAAATGGATATTCAAGTATTCGTGGACTCCCAATATTTTCACGAAAAAATAGCAGTTTTCTAAGACCAAAATGTCGTCAGAGGTGTATTTCACGTGTTTTCCGAACAAAAACCTCATTTTCAGTGAAAATAGAGCAAGTTGAAAAATTCACTTCAATCCGACCAATTTTTCGACCATGAAATGCCCTCAGATCGCATCGTGACCACTTTTAGTCGATTTCTCGTTAAAAATTGAGCAGATATGGTCTTTCGTGAGCCTTTTTCAGCCAGTAGATGCGTATTTTTGGCAGCAATTTCATTGTAGAATGCGACTCTACGTACAAATTCCGTTCATTGATGAATTACCTATGCTCAGAACTTCGAAATACGAATTTTCTCGGACATATGGCATATGCCATTTTGTTGATATGCTGGCCGGCTACAAACGCTCAGTTTTTGGTAACACATTGTAGGGCTGATTTTTGAGAAATCGCGTTTGGTGTTAAATTTTCCACCCGCTATATTTTTGCCTAGACCACACTTTAGGCATAAGGGATATGGTGTTTCCGACTATTTGGGCCAAGACCTTTCCAATGGTACCTAATATTCCGGGGCCCAAATGGTGCCCTGAGAAAATAGCATACTTACTGTATATATACTCGTGACGCAAAAACTGGCATTTTTTATATTTGGCTTGAAATGCACAGTCTATGGAGCGTCACTTGTCGGACTATCGTCCTCCGTGATAAAAAATATGGATATTAAAATGAATCAATATACGGTCCAAAAAAATGGCCCAAAGACTCTTAAAATTTTCTTTAGAAAAAAAGCCTACATTCCATGTAGTGCCAACAAGCAGACTTCATGCAAGGCAGATCAACTGCACTTATCACATAAATTTATCGCATAAATGTATTCAGCGTAATGAATTTATGCCGTAGCAAAGCCTAATCGCGAATGCAAACATCTACCATAAGTTGTATGGTTTACTGCCCTGCAAAGAAAATCGGCATTGGAGCCAAACTTCTCCTGTTTTCTTATTCTACAAATGGTACTCAGGATGGGAAATAGCAAATTTGGAAGAGAAATTGTGAGAATTATTTGATTAAAAAGCGGTGAAAGAATCAATCTTTGCTGTGTGAAAGAATCAATCCATCATCAACGTACAGTAAAACGATTACCCATTCACCTTCAATGTAGCCGTAGAACAAACATGAATCCGCTTTCGATTGTTCCAAATCGCAACTTTTCAGGAAATGTACAAACTTCGAATTCCAAACTCTTGCTTCAGCCCATACAAACTTCGCTTCAAATGGCATACTTTGTTTGCCCCATGCTCAATACCCTCTGGTATTTCCATGTAAATTATCTCTTCCAGATCGCCGTTGAGAAACGCGGTTTTGACATCAAACTGTACCATTTCCATATCATCAATCGCCGCAATAGCAAGAATACAGCGAACGGTTTCATATCGAACAACCGGAGAAAATGTCTCTTTGTAATCAATGCCAGCCGATTGTGAATAGCCCTTTGCAACTAGGCGTGTTTTGTACTTTGGCTCCTCGTTTGGTGCTGTTTTCAACTTAAACACCCATTTGTTCCCAATGACATGACATTTGCTTGGCTTTTCGATGATATCCCATGTATCGTTTTCTTTCAACGAATTGAGCTCCTCCTGAACCGCTTTCATCCAATGCGTTGATTCACTTGAGTTCTTTGCCTCTTGATTTGTCGTCGGCTCAATTGAAATAGCCGAATATGCAAATGCTCCGTAGAATTCTGTTTGCTTTCGATTTGTACGCAGAACTCTCTGTGTTGGTGTACTTGTTGCTGCCTTTTCATCAACTGATTTGATGAATGAATCTTCTGTTTCCGATGCCACATTATCTGAATTGGTTGCATTTTTCAATGTTGATTCACCCAAGTCATCAATCGATTTTTCTGGTTCATGCGATTCACCCTTGTTTGAAACTTTCGTCTTGTCGCTAATAATTTCATCGTCAGGCAATGTCAAATACTCACTACGAATAAAATTTTCGTTGAATTTCACGTCGCAACTGATGAACACTTTCTTCGACTCAGGATCAAACAATCGAAAATTCTTATTTGTGGGCTCGTATCCCACCAAATGCACCTGTTTCGCCTTTGGATCCCACTTCTTGCGTTGTACCAAACACTTTCAAGTGATCGAGTTGTGGTTTCTTCCCAAACCATTTGAATGCATTCACCTTTGCGATAACACGCTGTTCAGCCGACGGATGTGAGCTTCGTTTGAATTTTCCTAACTGGCATTCTTCACAAAAGAAATCTCTTTCGTTAGTAAA